AGTTATTTCCACTATTTTATCTTCCTGGTCAGTTATCCGTTCTTCTGCCTCAGTTATTCCGCTATTGATTCCTTGTAAAGAATTTTTAATTTCCTTTATTGAGTTGTTCATCATTGTCTGTTTGCTCTTTAGTTCTTCTAGTTCCTTGTTAAACATTTCTTGTATTTTCTCCATTCTATTTCAAAGATTTTGGATCATCTTTACTATGAGTAGTCTGAATTCTTATTCAGGTAGACTGCCTATTTCCTCTTCATTTGTTTCATCTGGTGGTTTTTTACTTTGCTCCTTCATCTGCTGCATATTTCTGTGTTTTCTCATTTTGCTTAAATTATTGTGTTTGGGGTCTCCTTTTCACAGGCTACAGATTAGTAGTTCCCGTTGTTTTTGGTGTCTTCCCCCAGTGGGGAAGGTTGGCTCAGTGGCTTGTGTAGGCTTCCTGGTGGAGGCGACTGGTTCCTGTGTACTGGTGGATGAGGCTGGATCTTGTCTTTTGGTGGGCAGGACTGTATCCGGTGGTGTGTTTTGAGGTGTCTGTGAACTTATTATGATTTTAGGCAGCCTCTCTGATAATGGGTGGGGTTGTGTTCCTGTGTTTCTAGTTGTTTGGCATGGGGTGTCCAGCACTGGAGCTTGCGGGTCATTGAGTTGAGCTGGGTCTTAGCGTTGAGACGGAGATCTCTGGGAGAGCTCTCGCCTATAGAGATTACATGGGGCCGGGAGGTCTCTGGTGGACCAAAGTCCTGAACTCGGCTCTCCTACCTCAGAGGCTCAGGCCTGACACCCAGCCGGGGCACCAAGACCCTGTCAGCCACACACTGTCTTTGGTTTTCCATCTCCAGGCACAGCCTGGCCTCCACACACCTCCGTGTCTCCAGGAAGACTTGGCACTGGGCCCGGTCTGACAGGTAACTAATGAAGATTCCAGCTGTGTTCATACACATGAATAACACTGCCTGGGCCACAACTCATCAGCTCAGTAACTCCACTTCGGTGTGGCTTCCCTGTCTCTTAATTGCACACATGCTCACTCCAGTTACTGAAAGCAGAATCCTAGGGCTGTTCTAGAAGCCTTCCGTTCCATTTCCAGTCTGTTACTGTTCATTTCCTGCCTTGATTTTAACCTCACTTGACCCTGTCTCAATCTCTCACCTTTCTACTAGAATCTTTTTTTGGGCTGGAGGGGCATTATTGGTACAGCAGCTGGTGTAAGATTATCATACAAAGCAAAGCTGGAAACAAATTGCCTATTTTCTTTTTTTTTTTTTTCGGTATGTGAGCCTCTCACTGTTGTGGCCTCTCCCGTTGCGGAGCACAGGCTCCGGACGCACAGGTTCAGCAGCCATGGCTCATGGGCCTAGCAGCTCCGTGACATGTGGGATCTTCCCGGACTGAGGCACGAACCTGTGTCCCCTGCATTGGCAGGTGGACTCCCAACTACTGTGCCACCAGAAAAGCCCTCAATTTTTATCATTTGTATAATTTTTGTTTTTCTAGAATATTCTTTTCAACGAGGTATTCAAATTTATTATCCGTTTTATTAATCTTTTAGAATACTGTCCTTCATCATGTCTCATCAACATTCTTTATATTTTTCATTTATTCATTTTAGCTCTAAGAGATTCTTTTCTAAAATTTAATTAATTTTTGGCTGTGTTGGATCTTCATTGCTGTGCGCGGGGGCTACTCTTCGTTGTGGTGCGTGGGCTTCTCATTGTGGTGGCTTCTCTTGTTGTGGAGCACGGGCTCTAGGTGTGCAGGCTTCCGTAGTTGTGGCATGCCGGCTCAGTAGTTGTGGTGCATGGGCTCAGTTGCTCCGCGGCACATGGGATCTTCCCGGACCAGGGATTGAACCCGTGTTCCCTATGTTGGCAGGCAGATTCTTAACCACTCTGCCACCAGAGAAGTCCCTCTAAGAGATTCTTGATATCACAAGCAGAAAGGATCTTTCTGAACGTCAAATCTTACCATGTCTTTCTCTTGTTAAAAACTTTCAGCAATTTAAGCCGTCGTCTATATGATAACCTCTAGTTACGTTTACAGGCGTACCACCTGCCATCTGCACCGCGGCTCTGCTAAGCCATTTGTCTCCTACGCACTCTGTGGTCTCACCCTCGCTTGCATCTACTGCTCTCTCTCCGTGCAATGCCCTCCGTATCTGTTCTCCCACTACATCATGAGATCCTGATGGGCTGTTCTGTTCATCTTTTTATTCCCGATGATTCTCACATTTTAATCATTTAGTAATGCTGAATACATTTGCTAAATAGAAAACTTTATTTTTCCTATTCAGTTTAGTTTTCTTGTGTGGTGAAATATACATAACATAAGATGGTCCATTTTAACCATTTTTAAGTATACAATTCAGTGGCATTAAGTAGATTCACGTTGTTGTGCAACCATTGCCAGTATCCATCTCCAGATCTTTTCATCATCCAAAACTGGAACTCTGAGCCCACTAAAAAATAACTCCCCACGACCCGTCCCCTTAGCCCCCGGTTACCTCTGTTCTACTCTTCCGTCTTTATGAATTTGACTACCTCATTTGAGTGGAATCATACCGTGTTTGTCCTTTTATGTCTGGCTTCATTCACTTAGCATAAGCTCTTCGGGGTTTATCCATGTTGTGGCATGGATCAGAATTTCGTTCCTTTTTAATCTGAATAATACCCCACTGTATATATAGACCACAGTTTGTTTATCCATTCATCTGTCAGTGAACATTTGAGTTGTTTTTACCTTTTGGCTCTTGTGATTAATGCTCTTCCGAACATCGGTGTACAGATACCTGTTCAAGTCCCTGCTTTCAATTCCTTTGGGTATTTACCTGGAAGTGGAATTGCTGGAGTGTATGGTAATTCTGTGTTTAACTTTTAAAAGGTTTTCCACAGCAGCTGCAGTATTTTACATTCCCACCAGCAATCACACAAGGGTTCCAGTTTCTCCACATCCTTGCCAGTGCTTGTTATTTTCTGTAATTTTTTATAATAGCAATTCTAATGAGTGTGGGTAGTATTTCATTGTGGTTTTGATTTGCAGTTTCCGAATGATTAGCGATGTTAAGCATCTTTTCATGTGCTTTCTGGCCATTTATAGATCTTTGGAGAATTGTCTATTGTCCATTTTTAAATTGGGTTAAATTTCCAAGCTGAAACAAATACCAAAATATTGAGTAATTTATAGATGTGTTTGACGACTCACTGTTGATAAAATTTGAGGAATCATGGAGAATGTGAGAAGACACAGAAAGCAGAAAAATAAGCAAATGTTTTTTCTAAAAGTGGAGAAAAATCTTCAGAACACAATAGTAGCTAGCTTTTCCTAGTGATTATAGTAGGAAATAGGTGGATTATGAACATGTAAGGAAGAAGTAATTACTAGACCCGAAAATAGCCACGTAATCCTTCTGCTGGGATTATTAGTGCCTATTATATAGACATATTGTGGTTGTTTATGATCTGGAATTATTGCTAAATTCGGTGGATTCCTAGCTCAAAGTACATTTAACTCTAAAGAGTATTTATTTTGAGTAGCACGTTGAAGAGTTTATCTTTAATTGGACTTAATATGTTCACAACCAATGTATATTATTTACAGTTGTCACAAACCTTAGAACTTAAAAATATGACAGAGGATTGAATTATGGGACAAAACCTAGTAAGTGAAATATCGCAAGGGTAAATTTAAAGCCTTCCAGTTAGATGAAGAGAGAATGGCTTCCATGAAGACAGGGTGTGGGAGTCCTGACCTGCAGCCTCCCCATATAAGAAGCAGGGATTTCAGTTGACTGCAGGCTCCACTGGGAGTCCTTACAGTCGTCCGGCTGCTAATAAAGCTAATGCTGCCTTTAAATGTCAAAGGAAAAGGTCCAAAGAGTGGAAAATATTAACTCTACTGTATTTTATATAATCACGCTTTTTTTCTTGTTTCCATGGTAGCTTTGTGCAAATATGTGTTCTTTGTATTTTACAAGTATGACAAATTAAATAATTAGACTGATAATATTCAGTGAGTCAGCAAATATTAATGGAGCATCTATTTTATCTGAGTCACAAGATAGTTACTGCTACTTTACAGGGGGAAAATATATATATATATATATATATATATATATATATATATATATATATATATATGTGGATATATATATTCTCTCCCCTACTGTGAGAGAGGAGTCATATATACAAATGATTATATACCAGGTGGAGTGGGATGCCTGCCCCAAAGTGCTATGGCGGTTCAAAAACAACAAATTCCAAGAAGCCTCATGAAGAATGGATCTTAAAGAAGTTCAACAAACGGAGATAAATGGAGAGACTATTTTAGGTATAAAAGAGGCATGTGCAGATTTGCAAAAGCTTGAAGCACAGGGCATGGCTCAGTCAATAGCAGATTGTTCAGAATGACCAGTATACGTAATAAATCAGGGATGGCATTCTGGGGCCTGTGGTGACAATTTTATGATGACACTCAGAAATGTAGAATGTACACTGACGACGTTAGGCAATTGGGAACGATAAAAAAAATTTTAATTGGATGTTGAGATCTTTGCTTTAAAGAAATAGAACTGATAACAATGTGCTGGACTTCTACCAGCTGTTTTACAAACATCTCACTTAATCCTGCCGGTCGAGCTAGAGTTGGGTCACATTACGACCCCCGTTTATATGTGAGGAAATGAGGCTTAGAAAAGTTAATTGCTCAAGGTCCCAGCAGAAGTAGGATCAAACCCTGGTGGCCCCAACCCTGAAGCCAATGCTGTCACCCGTCACTCAGCCACACTGATAGAGTGGCACTAGCTGAAGGTGGGGGGACAGGAAGGGTTCCATTTTCTCATGGTGCTCCCGGTCCTGTAAGTGATAGACACGCCCTTTGTAGTTTTGACTAATCTGTTGGAAGCTAACCATATAACAGATTTCTTCTGTGTTGTTCCTTTTGCACATTATATAAAGCCTGCGTCTTTGCACAGTTTTTGTTAACAGCACGGTTCCTCTTCCCATCAGTTCTTTGGGACCAAGTGCTCTGAAGACAGTAGGGAACGCAGCATCGGTGAAACGGAAGGAATCTTCCCAGAGCTCAGCTCAGTCAAAAGAAAAGAAGAAGAAGAAATCTGCACTCGATGAAATCATGGAGGTACGCTTTATGAAGTGCTTGTCAACTCTAGCTGTTAGGGGAAGGATGTGATTCCAACCAAGGAAAGTTAAATAGTTTCACCAATTATGAGATTAATATAAAGTGAGAAAAATGTGCTCATACCAGGTTAGGAAAAAAGAGCGTAGGTGTAGTTCCATCTGAATGGGGCTGGAACCTCCTTAGATAGGTTTATTTTCTTGCCTCAAGTGCTGTCTTCAAAACACTCCATGAAATTATGGTCAATAGAGTTAGTTTAGGAGAACCTCAGTGGTAATTGAAGCCAGAAATGAAAGCTCTGCTCACCTTTGGTGGCTTCGTGAAATTGGCATTCTCCATGGATGCCCCCACCAACCTGGGCTCTCCTGTTGCCTCTGACTTCCACTTACCACCTCCTACCCGGGAGAGAAAGCTCTGACATTATTATTTTTTTTTTTTTCGCGGTACGCGGGCCTCTCACTGTTGTGGCCTCTCCCACTGCAGAGCACAGGCTCCAGATGCACAGGCTCAGCGGCCGTGGCTCACGGGCCCAGCCGCTCTGTGGCACGTGGGATCCTCCCGGACCGGGGCATGAACCCGTGTCCCCTGCATCGGCAGGCGGACTCTCAACCACTGCGCCACCAGGGAAGCCCTCTGACATATTTTTAATGTGATTTAACCTGATGGCCAAGTTTATATGATGAATCAGTGAAAACCTATGATTATCTGGATCTAGGGCTATACTTTTGCTCTAAATTTACCTGAAATTCTAGAGCCGTTCTGCAGAAGGTTCTTAATATATTCCTAAATGTTCCTTTCTCCCTTCCAACACATCACCTTCCCTTATCAATAAATTTATGAAATAAGTAGAAAAGGCAAAGAGAAAGAATAAATGGGTACAAGAAGCTAACGTTTTTCCCTGTAACATCATTTCCTCTGGTCTCCTCATTCCTTTTCTTCATTTGTCAAGGGATGGGAGTAACTGTTTGGTCTTCCCTGTTACTGAGTCCTCACACAATGCAGGACAGTTAGAAAAGCTTAAAGTATAATATAACGTGTGTACGCCGTGAGATGTAGTCATTCCATCATTCAGCAGATACTGAGTTGCTGTTACGTGCTGGGCATCATGTGAGGTCCTGCATGTGTAGAGTAGGGAGAAAAACACAGTCCCTGCATGTCATAGAACTTTCACCCTAGTGAAGGAGGCATTCCACGACCAAGTGAACCAGTGGATAAGTAATTACAAAATGCTATGTGCTGAGGAGGTCTGAGGGCAGGGAGTGGGGAGATAGCTTGTTCCCCCACTAGGGCAGGGGAGATCTCTAGCTCAGCATCCAAAGGGAAGATCCAGGTGGCTAGAGCATGGTAAGCACAAGAGTGGTGGCATTTGAGGTTGGAGAGAGAAACAGGGGCAACACCACAGAGGTCTTATAAGCCATTCTGTTTTAATTCAAAGTAAAATGGAAAGCCAGATCTACCTGCTTAGAATATAACCATGCCAAGTTTAGAATATTTTTTTGTTCATATTGGAAAGTTGGAGGAATTAAGATGAGGTTTTGAATCAACCAAAGAGCGTCATTGTTCAGTCCCTTTGAAAGTAGGTACTTAGGGTTAACTGAGCAGTTGAGAAAGAAAAAGGTGTGAGATACAGCCAGGTCAGCTGGTCAGCACGTTTTCCTTTTGTTCACCCTTTCATTTACTTCTCTCCTGGTTGTGTTTTTCTTCCCCTCCATTCACAGCCTTTATTATCCTTATCAAACAGGGAAGCTCCTCTTTGCCATCAATCTGTATACCCAACTATGCTGTGCTGAATTGGTCTGTAAGAGTTATGTTTTTGCCCCCTGAATACATCGCTTGTTTTCCAGCGCATGACAGTCCAGGGGAGGAAGCAGGGATAGGGCAGAGTAATGCTGGCAGGTGGCGTTGCAGTATTGACTCAATAGAGGTTGTTTACGTTTATCTTCTTGGTCAGTTGACTTGCCTATCACTTATTTTCCTAAATCCAGGTTGCTTTTTTTTTCAATCAAAAACTAATTGCAAAAAAAGGTTTGTGTTCATCAGAGATTGCAAATTATATCGATCTTCTGTGAAGTGTGTTTTATGGTGTTCTTTTGCTAAATAGAATGTTATTTGAAATAAACTGAGGATTTTAAAGAGGTAATTTTATGAATGTCTCATGCGTCCTCCAGATTGAAGAGGAGAAGAAAAGAGCTGCCCGAACAGATTACTGGCTCCAGCCTGTACGTATCCCGCTGGGGCTTCTTACTTCTAAATGTGCTTTTAAGCGAATGATTTAAATAGCATTTGGTATAAATGACTAAATTTCTTAAATATCTGTAAATTCTGTAGATAGATTTATAACTTTAATGACTTGTCTTTGCATCTACTCTGTAAGTATTGGTTGTATTGTTATTAGAGGGTTACTTCATGTTCATGGACCAGTAATGTTTCTTGAGTTTAATGCCAAATTTGTGTATGGACACCTTGAATTTAAGCCTGGAATTATTTTCAGTTTTTGCTATAAGAATACCCAGTTAGGTACTTTGTTGTAAAAACAGCTTTTTTTTTTTCTTTAACATCTTTATTGGCGTATAATTGCTTTACAATGGTGTGTTAGTTTCTGCTTTATAACAAGGTGAATCAGCTATACATATACATATATCCCCATATCTCTTCCCTCTTGCGTCTCCCTCCCTCCCTCCAACCCTCCCTATCCCACCCCTCTAGGTGGTCACAAAGCACCGAGCTGATCTCCCTGTGCTATGTGGCTGCTTCCCACTAGCTATCGATTTTACATTTGGTAGTGTATATATGTCCATGCCACTCTCTCACTTTGTCCCAGCTTACCCTTCTTCCTCCCCATGTCCCCAAGTTCATTCTCTAGTAGGTCTGTGTCTTTATTCCCATCCTGCCCCTAGGTTCTTCATAACCAATTTTTTTTTTTAGATTCCATATATATGTGTTAGCATACGGTATTTATTTTTCTCTTTCTGACTTACTTCACTCTGTATGACAGACTCTAGGTCCATCCACCTCACTACAAATAACTCAATTTTGTTTCTTTTTATGGCTGAGTAATATTCCATTATATATATGTGCCACATCTTCTTTACCCATTCATCTGATGATGGACACTTAGGTTGCTTCCATGTCCTGGCTGTTGTAAATAGAGCTGCAATGAACATTGTGGTACATGACTCTTTTTGAATTATGGTTTTCTCAGGGTATATGCCCAGTAGTGGGATTGCTGGGTCATATGGTAGTTCTATTTTTAGTTTTTTTAAGGAACCTCCATACTGTTCTCCATAGTGGCTGTATCAATTTACATACCCACCAACAGTGCAAGAGGGTTCCCTTTTCTAAAAACACGCTTTAATTATATAAGTTCAAGGAAAGGTTTGTTTTTTATTGCTTTTTTATTATTGCTTCTTCTGTCTTTTTTCGTTTTTTCTTAATCTAATTTACTAAAGTCTTTAAAAAAATTTTTTTTATTGAAGGAAAGATTCTTTAAATTCTGTAGTGCTTTCCAGTTTTCAAAAGTTTCACACACATGATTTCATGTAAGCCCATAATAACTTTTTTTCCCTCATCCTTTTATTGCCCCTCTCCACTTCCCTCTCCCCATTGGTAACCACTAATTTGTTCTCTATATTTGTGAGTCTGCTTCTTTTTTGTTGTATTCACTAGTTTGTTGTATTTTTTAGATTCCACATATAAATGATGTCATAGTTTTTATCTTTCTCTGACTTATTTCACTTTATTTCTTGTTCTTTTAAGATAACAATTGCATAATAATTTTTAAACATTTCAGTACGTTAAATATTTTTTATTTATTGCTGCTCAGTTTTGAACTTAACTGGAATATGAAGTTTTCATAAAACCTTCAGGGTATCTTAGTTATCCTTAAGGGAGCTGGCTTGATCAATAACACGAGAGTGAAAAGTAATTATTTGGGTAATTTCTGATTTGAAAATTTCTGATTTATTATTATTATTAATAATGATCTTGAAGATCAAAAAGCATAAAGTTCTAATTTAAATCTTCATAGTTATTCCCTCACTAGCTTAAAAATAATTTTGTTTCCATGTCTTAGTTTATGTTCTTATACAATGGGAAACATTTGCCTGGTGACCACATGAAAGATCATGAAATAAGTTATGTAAAATGAAAATCCTTGCTGTATTAAATAGAAAATAAGTACTTCATAAATCAGACAGAGAAAGACAAATATCATATGATATCGCTTATATGTGGAATCTAAAAAAAAAAAAAAGATACAAATGAGCTTCTTTACAAAACAGAAATAGACCCACTGACATGGAAAACAAACTTATGGTTACCAAAGGGGAAAGGCAGGGGGTAGGGAGGGGATAAATTAGGAGTTTGGGATTATCAGTTACACACTATTATGTATAAAACAGATAACCAACAAGGACCTATGGTATAGCACAGGGAACTATACTCAATATTTTTTAATAACCTATAAGGGAAAAGAATCTGAAAAAGAATAAACATATACATATAACCGAATCAATGTGGTGTACACCTGAAACTAACACAACATTGTAAATCAACTATACTTCAATTAAAAAAAAGAAAAGAAAAACTATTAAAAAAAAAAGTGCTTCATATGAATTATTTCAGTTAATTCTCATATCAGCCCTACAAGGTAATTACTGTTATTATTCCCTTTTGATAGGTGAGACAACTGAGGTATAGATTATTTGAGTAATTCCCCCAAGGTCATTTAGAAAGTGGTGAGCTAGGATTTCCCTGGCAGTCAGATTCACTAGGTTGTACTCTGCCCTAATAAACAGTACTTCCTGGGATGCATTAGTCTCCCTGACTTCCGTCTCTGAGTAGAAGTCTGGGTGAAGATTAGAAAAGGAAGGACCTAGAGAGAGGTAACCATCTATGAATTATTTTGTTTGCTTTCCCTGTCCGAGTAGCTAGCATTTGATATTAATAGTTTCATATATTGTTTATGAAAGTGTAATCAAGAATTTTGCTTAGAGCAGTAGTTCTTAACCAGAGCACAATTCAAAAAACTTTAGACCATTTCTTTCCAAGATATATATGCTTCAATACTACCACTATCCAGTCTTCTGGGGTGAAATGGCTATTTTCACTAACCGCCTAGGTGATTCTCATGTTTAGAATCACCTTTGTTCAGAACCATTGGTTTAAAGGAAAAAGAAAACAAACCAAAAGCAAAAAAAAAAAAAAAAAAAAGCATTTTTAGTTAGTCCAAAAGTTCTCTTCCCAATGACAATACTTTTTTTTTTTAAGATTTTTTTTCTAATGTGGACCATTTTTAAAGTCTTTATTGCACTCCTTACAATATCGCTTCTGTTTTACGCCCTGGTTTTTTGGCCACAAGGCATGTGGGATCTTACTTCCCCAACCAGGAATTGAACCCACACCCCCTGCATTGGAAGGCGAAGTCTTTAACCACCGGACCTCCAGGGAAGTCCCTGCATTGACAATACTTTTAATAAAATTTTATTTTCAGTTTGATAATCTTCTAGTATAGTAAATTATTCAGATTTTCTTCCTAGCTCCTCTTGGAGAATGTTACATTAAAAGTGAAGATCAGGGCTTCCCTGGTGGCGCAGTGGTTGAGAGTCTGCCTGCCGATCGATGCAGGGGACACGGGTTCGTGCCCCGGTCCGGGAAGATCCCACATGCCGCGGAGCGCCTGGGCCCGTGAGCCATGGCTGCTGAGCCTGCGCGTCCGGAGCCTGTGCTCCGCAACGGGAGAGGCCACAACAGTGAGAGGCCCGCGTACCGCAAAAAAAAAAAAAAGGGAAGATCAGCCAACAGTGATCCAGTGACTCAGTGTGTGTCTCATTTTGAAGCGGGCAGTATGTGTGTTAAAATAACCAGCAGCCCACAGAGATGGATTGGAGAGCTTAAGTTTTTAAACTCAGAAAAGAAAGTTTTGACAGATGTGCTATGAGCAAGTGTCAATAGTACAATGAAGTAATGAATTATGTTTAAATTATAAGTGTGTGTACCCTTGAGGGCCTTTGAGAAATTTAGCCCAGAAATCAGAGAAGCTGTTGGTATTATATGGCTTCATTGAGAAAGTCTTAATAGAATACTGGCTTAAGAATAAGAACATTCAAGCCTTCTCTTAAACATATTTTTCTGCTGTTAAATATTCTCCCCCAAAGTCCTTACTAGGTTTTTGTTAATGTAATGTTTAGCCTGGCTTATTGAAGTACTTGTGACCATCTAGTACTTCTGCTGTATCCACTTGAAGTAGCGAATACAGAATTGCTGTAGTGAATCTGGAATTAAGTCAGGTGATTTAATTTTTATCGTCAGCCATTAGCCAATTGAAATCAGGAAAACAATGATAAGGAAGCAAACTCAGAATGCATTAACATGAAATAAACTCAGATTTCTCTCCCGTTGAGAACTAGATGCTCAGAAGAGCGATGCTTTTAGCTGGAGCTAGTCTGGAGGAGTCCAGTCTTACCAAAAATCCAGAGCAACATCGTGAGAAAAGAGCATTGTGGAAAGTGTTGTGCTTTAGCTCAAAGCCTCCATTGCTTGCAGTTCCCAGTGAGACTCCTGCTCTCTTGAGTTTTTTTGTCAGCGGTGAATGTCAACATATAACATCCTTGGCATTTTTTCTTCCTTGAATGGAGAGAAAGAAAGAAGCTCTCTATGAAAGACCTGGATTAATAGAGTTGAGATTGGTGGATGAAAGTCCTAGATTTCAGGAAACCTTCACTATGGAAATCAGCCATGAGATACGCGTTTTTTCCTCTTGGTAACCAACTGTGTTGAATAAAAAGAGACAGAAGGAATGAAAGATTACTAAGGAAATGTTCTGCCATCGTTGGGAAGACTTCCATCTCCAAAATGTCTTATTTAGCAAAGCAGTTAACATTTTACTATGATTTTTGGTGAAAATGTTTAAAATGAAGGATCAAAAGAGGAAAGATAATTTATATCATTCCTTCCATCTTTATTTTTTTCTTATTTTCCAGGAAATTGTAGTGAAAATTATAACCAAAAAACTTGGAGAGAAATATCATAAGAAAAAGGGGATTGTTAAGGTAAGAACATGAAGTTATGATGGAATTTGGTGAAGGAGCTGGCGTGTGGCTGAGTAAAGCCATCTTGATACTCCTTAAAAATCAAGTCCTAGTAACAGAAGCAGTGTGTCTAAGGTTCTCGATGGTTCCATGAAAGGAAGGCTGACTTCCCAACAGTTGGAGAAATATTTCATTTCCAACCATAGTTTATACTTAACTTTGGTCGGCTTTCTTACTAGAGCAAATGGTATGTATGAAATCCCATCGGCACCTCTTAAAAAATTCAGTGAGCGCACCTTGCTAGTAAGTAAGGTACATTCCCTTTGTTAATGACGGGCAATGTAATAGTGCCCCAGAGTTCCAAGGAGGACTTCCTTGTGGTTTGCCTGAGAGACTTATCTTTTGATTGCTCTAGGATTTTAAAATTTAAAAAAAATCAATGCTCCAGTCTTTTTCTTTCTTGTGCTTTTCCTGAGTATAGTTTCATGCTAGCACCCACCCTTGTGCATGCATAAGTTGCCCTCCTACTGTACTTGAAATGACACAGAATTATCCCTCTCATTGTATTTCTTAAAGTCTTATTCTAAGGTCACCATCCTCTTCTTTCCAGATGAAAACCTTAACTAAGCTTTGAATTGAATTCTTTAAGAACCATAGCCTGAGGTCATATATGGCATCTAGAAAATAAGCTCCATTGATACAAGGAGTTACTCTTAAAACAAGTTACTCTTACCTTTTGGTTAGAATTTCATTGTTTACATTTATTTCTGTCCTTTGGACTTTGTGTTCACATGTCTCTTCTGTTATAAAAGTGTTGGTTTTACATGGCAGGAAGTAATTGACAATTACACCGCTGTGGTGAAGATGATTGATTCTGGAGACAAGCTGAAACTTGACCAGACTCATTTAGAAACAGTAATTCCAGCACCAGGTAAATCTTTTTGCAGACCATTTAATATACCATCGAAATAAGTGATTCCATTCTTTAAAACCTTAGTTTTTGACGTTACTTGATAGTTCTGGGTATGAGTTTCCTTTTTAGAAACATATAACTGCCAATATAACTGATCCCAGTTTGACTTGGTGAGGTGGTAGTTTACCAGTCCTCTGAGAAAGCTATTTCGTGGCATAAATAAATTTTCCCTTTCTAGAATCTTTGTTTTCTTTCCAGAAGCAAATCACAGACATATCTGGATAAAATCAATCATATTAGGATTATTATTAATATACTTGTTTAGCTATTTGAGATGGTAAAGTAAAAGTCAGTATTATTTTGCATTTTCTTTTCCTTAATTGTCTTACGCATATCTAGTATAAATGCTTCTGTAGTTAGGTTGTTTGCCTCTGACCCAGACTCTTCATGGTGGTATCATTGCTGGCACAGTGATAATGTTAGTCTGTAAAACTTCTGTTTATCAGATCCTATATTCTTTCTCCATAAAATAAAATTCATTTTATGGATTAGAAATTGTGGACTTTTTTTTCAGCTTCAGTAAGATGTAATTAACATAAACTGCATCTGTATAAAGTATACAATTTGATGTTTTCAACACATGCATACTCCCGTGAAAACCACCCTTACAATCAAGTTAGCAAATGTGTCCATCACCCCGCAAAGTTTCCTCCGTTTCCTTTATAGTCCTTCGCTCCCTGCTGTCTCCCCCGTCCCCCACGCAACCACCAGTCTGCCTTCTGTGACTATAGATTAGCTCATAGTTTTCTACAATTTTATATAAATAAAATCATACCACGTGTCCTGTGTTTCTGTCTGGCTTCTTTCACTAAGTACATCATTGTGGATTCATTCACGTTGTTGTGTGCATCTATACTTGATTCCTTTTTATTGCCAAGTATTTCATTATGTGGATGTGCCAGATTCTTTATCCAGTCACCTACTGATGGACATTGGGGTTGTTTACAGCTCTTGGCCATTACAAACAAACCAGCTATATGAGCATTCACATACAGATCTTTGTATGGATATATGATTTCTGTTCAGAAAATTCTTAGAGATAGAATGGCTCAACCAAACAGCAGGCATATATTTACGCTTTTATGAAACTAGCAACCATCTTATGATCTTAAAAAGAGAGAAATTAAAAGTAAGCTGAATTTTTTCTGATTACTTCTGGGCTCTGGACATCTCTTCCAAGAACCTTATACTCCTTGGTATAAAATTAAAACATCCCTTGACAAATAGGTAGAAAAAATGAGTCTTGTAATGTTACAGTAATCAAAGTATCTACAGACTGTACTGTAGCATCATACAGATATTAAGTGGTTAAGAACATCTAAGAGAAGAGTTTTGTTTTCTACTATGTTGATTCAGTGTAATTGCATTTGGCTGTAAGAAAGTAGAAGAAAGTGGCCATTTTCTTTGTATTAAGTGTTAACCCTTTTCTGTTACAGGAAAAAGAATTCTCGTTTTAAATGGAGGCTACAGAGGAAATGAAGGTACCCTAGAATCCATCAATGAGAAGACTTTTTCAGCTACTATAGTCATTGAAACCGTAAGTATAGTTTACACAAAGACGGAAATTTCAAAATGCTTTTAAAATGTGCTATGGTTTTTTTTCATCGGATTGGTGTTTTAAGTTTGGGTTTTCTGTTTGCCTTGTCTCCTATTTGGAAATCTATAAGCTTATTTTCTCTAATGACTGACATTACTAAAGCATTTTATTTTCTGATTACAAAAGAAATTCCTTATGTGTCTTAATCTGTTCAGGCTGCTATAACAAAATACCGTAGACTGGGGTGGCTTTAGAAACAACAGAAATCTATTTCTCACGTTTGTGGAGGCTGGAAGTCCAAGATCAAGGCACAGGCAGATTCGATGTCTGCTGAAGGCCTGTTTCCTGGTTAATGTGTCCTCACATGGTGGGAGGGGAAAGGGAGCTCTCTGGGATCCCTTTTTAAGGGCACTAATGCATTCTCAGGGGCTCTGCCCTCATGACCTAATCACTTCCCAAAGACCCCACTTCCTAATACCATCACATTTTGAATGTACTGAATGAATTTTGACAGGGACACAAACATTCAGTCTCTAGCAGCACTCTTAGATAAAAGCTGAAAAATACAATTTAATATAAATAATTTTTAAAATTGCCCGTAAACCTCCAGGCAAATGATAACCTCCATTAATATTTTGGTCTGTTTTTTTTCAGTCTTTCTATTTTATAACATTGTATATATTACACATAGTTTTGTATCCCAGTTTTTTCCCCCCACATCTAACATAAAACTCAATCTGCCGTAGTGTGATTAGTGGGGAATATATAATCAGAGTTAATGGGGGAAAAGGCACAGAGATCAATAATATTTTTTAATGTCCTTCTTTCTTTCATAAAGGATTTAAGGTAGAAGAGATCAATAAATAGATTTTAAGAAGTCTGACATTTAAGTAAAATTGTTCGTTGATTTAGAACTGATGGTCCACTGACAGGTCTGCGCATGAGGCTGAGTGAGACCTGAGCTGTCTTCAGAAGGAAGGGTCTGAAACATGTTTTTTCCTAACTGCCTAATTCTTTTTAGATCCCTGCGCTACCGCACCGTGTATCTTTATCTCTAAACGAGAAGCTTTTTCATCTCCACTACAGGAAGTTTTAGTGTTTGGGGGAATAATCAACTTCCTGAAGAGTTTGATGAAAGTTTTGGGCTCTCTGCAAGAAACTGCACATAAACTGCCAAATTTTATGTGTTCCCTTTAAGGAGTTCTCAGGTCCCCTGAGCCCAGCTATGAACTGGTTTGAGAACATGTGTCTCAGGAAAGCTTTCTAGAAAAACCATTTAGGTTCTTATTTGAAAGAAATCACATTTCAGTAAATTAAGCATTTTTTCCCTGTCCTTGAAAATACTAACCTAATCACCAATGAACATAAACTCTAAGGGGAAAAGAAGGAACAGGGAATGTCACCTGTCAGTAGGGAATTTATTAATCTGACTACATGAACAGATTGAAGTTCTTTTTTAAATCAGTTTTTTTTTTTCTGATTCAATCAGCATAAGATTGTGGAAACTCTCGTATTTCCTTGGCAGGTTGAATCTCCTCCACTTTCTAGTTTCCTAATACTATCCAACTTAGACCCCGCTTCACGTTTTCATCTAAGGGAAACAGAAAGACTCAGTACTGTTGAGGATATTCTAGGTTCTGTCCACACCTTTGGTTTCCAGTCTGTATGATTTTCGAGAGCTGCTTTCTTCCCGGCCTTGCTGTGAACCCACAGCTCCATCTTCCCCTCTAATGCTTTCATCGCTCTCAGAGCCGGATGGAGATAGAACCTCGGAGGTGATCCGCAGGGAAAGCCTTTCTGGTTGATTGCAAAGCAGCGTGTACTCTTGGGGGAGGAAACCCACATGCAAATTTTTTGGTTTTTTCTTCTTCTTTTGCAGCCTGCCTCCATTAAAAATATCTGTGCTGGTTTGTGCATGTCGGTCAGCTTGTCTCTACGTCCGCATGTTTTCTCCAAGTCAATGCCCTGAAAAACATGAACTTTTCGAGTGGTTTCTCCTATTTTTATTATTTCTGGCATCTTAAATTTTAGTATCAGTATCATAAGATTTGGAATTTACACATTTATTAAGCAGATTTTTTAAATAGCTCACAAATTGTTCAAAACCAGCCCCAACTTTTTAGATACTTGCCTAGTTAACCCAAGTCTGGCCCCCTTCTTTATCCCTTGCTTGGCCTTCTTATCACAGAAGTGTGATTGACCTTTGACCTTTAAACCTGATGATGTCAAACTGGGTCATGCTTTATCTGGGAACTTATTTCCTTTATATGTAATCATTATAGTACATTAAAAGAAAGACATTTTAAAAGCATTTTTTAAAGGAAGGTAAAAAATGTTAAAATCTCAGCCCAGGGTTAGAGTCATCATCATCATTTTATATTTTGCAGCAGAGAGGACCAACTTTTAAATTTTAACTGAAAGATTTAATAAGAGTTAAGAATTATTGAGCTTGGGCTTCCCTGGTGGCGCAGTGGTTGAGAGCCCGCCTGCTGATGCAGGGGACACGGGTTTGTGCCCCGGTCCAGGAAGATCCCTCATGCCGCGGAGCGGCTGGGCCCGTGAGCCATGGCCGCTGAGCCTGCACATCCGGAGCCTGTGCTCCGCAACGGGAGAGGCCACAACAGTGAGAGGCCCGCGTACCGCAAAAAAAAAAAAAAAAAAAAGAATTATTGAGCTCATATGCGTATTATGTTCCAGATGTTATTCTGAGCACTTTATATGTGCTAACTCATTTATATTTCTCAACAAGCCAGTAATGTAGGGTACTGTTACTGTTCCCCACTAGGGGATAATGGGGCACTGAGGGGTTATGTCACCTGCTGAGGGTGGGGTTTGAACTTGGGCAGTCTGGGTCCAGAGCCCATATTCTTAGCCTCTGTGTTCCCAGGCTGTATCAGCTTTTATGACAGGTATCATCTTTCATTAATCCAGTTTTCTTTCCCCTTTCCCTTTTTGTTGGATATGAAGGGAACAAGAAAATATATTTCAGGTTGGTCTCATTTTCTGTAATAAGACCAGCCTGTCACAGCTAAACTAGACAAATATCTTTGAGTATGAGGATTTGTATTGCTTAAAATAATATTTGTTATTTAAAAAAAAAAACCCGACTGATAATGGCACAAACATGATAGACATTAACTTCTCATTTTGAAGTCCAGAACAGGTCTTCTGAATCAGGGAATGGCTCTTTTCTTAGGGGTGATTTGTGAGCCCAGGGTCCTTCTGACTTGTGGCTCTACCACCTTCAACCGGGGTTTTGACAGCTGCCGTGTCCGTGTGCTTCAGGCAGGCCGCGGGGAGCGTGACGGGTTGCCTGTGGAGGGGAGCATGGCCTGGGCCTGGAAGTGCCCCACGTCACTTCTGTTCCCTTCCTTGGGCCAGAGCTCCATCTCATGGCATACCTGACCACAGGAGGAGCCAGGAAGTGTGACTTGCTCCAGGAAGCAGAGGAGATACTGACCAGCTAGCCAGTCTCTGCCACAGGGTCTAGAGGTAACACATGCCACATAGCACTGAAGAAAATACGGCCAGTTCTTGATGAGGTTGCCGTGGAATGCTTTAGAATACTTGTAAAATTCACAGATGTGTAGAGCTGTTAGGTACCTTAGTGGTGTCTTAGGGATGTGAAAAAGGCAAAGTTGGATCCAGAAGTGTGTGTCCTTTTCTTGTCTTATAAGTACATGTGTGTTCTTAACCTCTTCTTCAATTATTTTAATTTGTAGGGCCCTTTAAAAGGACGCAGAGTTGAAGGAATTCAATACGAAGACATTTCTAAACTTGCCTGAGTTTGATAACTTGTTAACAGCACATTAAAATCTTAAAGCATCAAATTGGTGTTCACAAAGGCATTACAAGACTCTACTGTGTTAGGGTGTTTCTTTTGTATAAAACAAATGGATTTATTTAAATATTACTGTATAGTTGTTTAGCTAAGCTTACAGAAAAATCTAGTTATGTCTCATGAAGTATCAAAATTGTGTAATTTTGTCTTTGTTATTTTTATTTCCTTTGTAATATTTCCTTGATGATTTTTTATCTTCATTAAAAGAACATTATTGTAAAGTGTTTTATATAGGACAATTTAGAATCGTATAGTTAGAGGAAATCCTTCATATACTCTAAATTTCTATTTTCATCAGTAAAGTTGAACTGTAAATATTATTACATTTTAAAGAGTCAAACTATAAATAGAATAGCAGCTTTATTGAGATATAATTCACACACACCATACAATTTCACCCATTTAAAGTGGACATTTCAGTGGTATTTAGAATATTTACAAAGTTGTACAAGCACCACCACTATCTAATTTGAAACATTTTCATCACCCCCGAAAGTAACCCTGTATCCATAGTCACTCCTAACCTCCCCTCTCTCCCCAGCCCCTGGCAACTACTAACCTACTTTCCATCTCTGTGTATTTGCCTGTTTTGGACATTTCATATAAATGGAATCATACGATATGCGATCTTTTATGACCAGCTTCTTTCACACAGCATAATGTTTTCAAGGGTTATCCACGTTGTAGCACGGATCACTATCTCATTCCTTTTCATTGAACAATTATCCATCATATGGGTATACCGCATTTTTAAAAAACTATTCATCAGTTGCTGGATTTGGGTTGTTTCCGCTTTGAGGCAATTATGAATAATGCTGCTGTGAACATTCGTGTACAAGATTTTGTGTGAACGTACGTTTTCAGATCCTAGGATTGGAGTCAGTCATACTGTAACTCACTCATGTTATACCATGTTTAACATTTGAAGAGCTGCCAGGCCGTGTTCCAAAGTGGCTACACCATTTTACAATCCCACCAGCAATGGTGAGCTGTCCATTTTTAAATAAGTAGGGCAGCATATTATGAAGGGATACAAAAGACAGGAAACCCACCTCACAGTTGCTTATGGGAAAAAAAAAAAAAAAGGAAGTTTATAGTTCATATAACTGCGAAGGAGCAGACCCTTGATTCAAGTGAGATTCAGGGTGCAAGCAGTCCAGATTCAGGGCTGGGCCCCTGTCATCTCTGGCTTCTGTGTTGGGTTCATTCAAGGTACTTTTCAAAACAGCAAGATGACTGCCAGCATCTCCAGCCTCCAGGTTTACATCTTACCCTTCTGTCACAGTTCCAGCAAAAAACCTGGGATTGAGTCTTATGGATCCACACCGGGACAGATCATTCCAAGTAAAAGGATTGGAATACTACCGACTGGCCAGACTTGGATTGTATTCCAACCCATGGGCCATCCCTCTGGAACCCCACCCTTAGGGGAGGGGTGATAAATCTGTTATCAGAAGGTGGGAGAATATTTGCTGGTGAACAGAGACAGAGGAGGCAGCGAAAGAAATAGTAATGGGATGATGTCCGTAGCTTTACAGAAAATGTTATGGGATGAATTAAAGCATTTCCGAAATAGCTGGACAGCATCGTACTGGGGAAAGGAGCTGGGTTTTGGAGTTGGGCAGACTTTAGGTTGAATTTTGGCTGTTCTATTCACTAGCTAAGTCATCTCAGGAAAGTTAATGTTCTCGAATTTCAATGCTTTTAATGTATAAATTGTCAAAAATAGTGTGTCCCGGCAGGGTTGTTGTGAGAACTACAGAAAATGCATATGGAGTGTCAGACGTAAAGCCCAGCACTTAGTAGGTGTTTGATAAACGGAAGTGAGCATAGTGTCAGTAAATGGGGGCGAGCGTTTGTGACCTGAGGAATTTCCATAAGGGGAATGGTTCTCCCTGATTATAGTGGAGAAATAAAACATGACAAATTTCATAGGCCTCCCCCAAATCTGTAAGTTTGGAATCAACTCAGTGGTTTTCTTCTTAGAAAACCATGTTTCATCCCTACCGCCCACGTTTCTTTTCTCCAGCATCTTCCTGAAATTGTCACAGGATAAAATAAAGTAGTATTATTGAAGGTGAACTTAATTGAAAAAAGTCTGAAGCACAAAAATATGATGCTAGACTGTAGAACCTTTTTTCCTGTAAGTTTTTAGAGGCCAATATGGTTATGTTAAGCAGAGTGACTGCAGACACCTAAAATCAAGTTTTATGTAGACTTTTTTCTCTATTTTCTTTTCTTTCTTTATTTTTATTTTTTTGGCCGAGCCACATGGCTTGCAGGATCTTAGTTCCCCAACCAGGGATTGAATGGATATATGTTCTGCAGTAGAAGTATGTTCTGCAGTAGAAGCGCAGAGTCCTAACCACTGGATCGCCAGGGAATTCCCTGACTATTTTTTTCTTTTTAAAGCATCGTAAGCTATTCTTTTTTTTAAAAAAAAAAAAAAAAAAAAAGACTTTATTTTTTTGAGCAATTTTAAGTTCACAGCAAAATTAAGCAGAACGTGTAGAGATTTCCCATGTGCCCCCTGCCCTCCAAGCCACAGCCTCCCTACCATCAGCACCCCACCAGATGGTGCATCTGTTATAACTGATGACCCTGCATGGACATGTCATCCTCACCAAGCATCCGTAGCTGACGTCAGGGTTCACTCTTGGGATTGTACATTCTATGGGCTTGGTCTAATTTATAATGAAATACATTCACCATTATGGTATCGTGCAAAATAGGTTCCTCAGTCTAAACATCCACCTGCTCATCCCCCCTCCCCTGCCTGCCTCCATCAACCAGTGATCTTTTTACTGTCTACATAGTTTCGCCTTCCCCAGAATGTCTGGTAGTTGGACTCATACAGTATGTAGCCTTTTCAGACTGACTTCTTTTACTGGGTAATATGCATTTGTTTCCTCCACGCGTCTTCTCGTGGCTTGATGGCTCTTTTTTCTTTAAGTGCTGAGTAATACCACCTTATCTGTATATACCACAGTGTATTTATCCATTCACCTACTGAGGGACATCTTCGTTGCTTCCAAGTTTTGTCAACTATGAATGAAGCTGCTATAAACCTACGTGTGTAGATTTTTGTGCAGGCATAAGTTTTCAACTCATTTGGGGAAATACCAAGGAGCGTGGTTCCTGGATTGAATGGTGAGATTGACTTCCGAAGTGGCTGTTCTGTTCTGTAGTCCTGCAAGCAATGAATGAGAGTTCCTGTTGCTCCACCTCCTTGCCAGCATTTAGTGTTGTCTTGATGTTGGCATTCTAATAGGTGTATAGTAGTATCTCATTGTCTTAATTTGCAATCCCTAATGACATATGATGTTGAGCATCTTTCCATATGTTTATTTGCCATCTGTATATCGTGTCTATTCAAGTCTTTTGCCATTTTTAAATTGGGTCATTCACTTCCTTACTGTTGAGTTTTAAGAGTTCTTTGTATATTTTGGATGATCGTCTTAGATAATATCTTTTGTAAATATTTTCTCTCTGTCTGTGGCTTCTCAGTTTTTGGAAAGCTGTTCTTTTTCACCAGCTTGCTTGAGGTCATATCAAATTATTGGCATTGATATCTTAGGAAACCAAATTCCTTGAGTTTTCTTCATTAGGAATGCCGTCAGATCCCATTGCCTTATTTGCTCTTTTTACCCTTGTGTACTTCTAACTGCCTATCAGTTTTTGCTGACACGTTTGAGTGAATTTATTCAACAAACATTTACTAAAGCGCCTCCCCTAAGTAAATGATCACAGGAGGTGCTGGAGATAAAAGGGTGAGAAGCAGGTGTAGGCCCAAGATGGGTGTCGTGTAGGAATTGACAATGTTTAGTGAATTGATATTCAAATGAAATGATTGGCCGATAAAGAGAAATTAGCTAATTTGGAGTAGCTACTTAAAAACCCGCCCTGGGACTTCCCTGGCTGTCCAGTGGTTAAGTCTCTGCGCTCCCAATGCAGGGGGCCTGGGTTCCATCCCTGGTCAGGGAATTAGATCCCACATGCCGCAACTAAGACCTGGTGCAGCCAAAAAAAAAAAACCCGCCCTGACTTTGACATACCGCAGTGAGAGACCGTTACGGTTACCCGTAACGTAAGTAGGAACTGTACATACCTCAGTTCCTACTCTGGTGAAATGGGATCACAGGATTAGAATATGGCTCAGCCTTCGTTGTAAGTTCGTCGTTAGGTAGACTGAAGGGACCCCGGAAACGCTAACTGGGTAATTGAATCACTGTACCATTAAAAGGAAGCATCCTTGCTTTTTCTTTCTCTCACATGGGTATTTCAGAAAAAGTCACCCATGTAGACTTTGCCAGTGTGAAAAAGTGTTTTGTTTTGTTTCGTTTGCTTGTTTGGTTTTTTGGCCATGCCTCATGCTTGCCGCTTGCGGGATCTTACTTCCCTGACCAGGGTTTGAACCCGGACCACGGCTGCTGAGCCCTAACCACTGGACTGCCAGGGAATTCCCTGAAAAAGTGTTAAGAAAGGAATAAGACTACTAAATTATTACAGCATATAAGCATTTTTATGTATCTAGGCAGCCAGGTAATTTCTACTTTCATCCTACTGGGTCTTTGGAGTCACTTACAGCTCTTTCGATTGGGATAAGTCTGAAGAGATGTTCCTCCTTATGGTATTAAGTGACCCTTTAAAGCAAGTAGAATGACTTGCATAAGACCTCATACCATTAGGTAGTAAAATAACTACTGATTCATAGTTCATTTTTACTACACATAGAGACACTCTCTAATTCCCTTTTTTTTTTTTTACTTATTTCTTTGGATTGCCAATTTTCCAACTCTAAGAAGCCTTGTTTAATTTTCAGATATTTAAAAACACAAACAAACAAACTTATGACAGAAGTATGACCTGAACACAGTCTTGTTTCTCAAACAAAGGCTCTTATTTTCCTGACAGTTCTGACAATAAGACATACATATCTAATTGGTTTAATGGGAACTGTTTAGATTGATACTTACAGAAAGCTTTGAAGATAGGCTACTTTTGTCCTAAAGAGGAATATATTTGACAAGTACCAGCCCTGTAATACCCCAACTTTATACAAAATTAAATATTGATCAATTACCAATGGGTTCCAAGGTGTTCAACGAATAAGCATAGATAATTGTCAACTTGTTTTTCTTCATCACTGAGAGCATAATACTTTGAGAACTAACCAAGAGGCAGACAGTGGAATAGTTTCTTCTTTTCCAATGATTCCCATTAATTTGGTTTCTTCATTTGAAATTCAAAATTGATTATTCCCTTATAATTCAAAATTAATTATATAGAGAAGGCAATTTTCTGGTCTCAAGAGGGACACATGTGAACAGTATTAATAAGGTTATTTTTTACAGGAAATGAATTTTAAAACACCAGCTATTAATAAAAGTTTTGATAATTTGAATAACATGGGTTTGATTTTAAATCTAGTTTCTTTTGCTAGGACTATGTTGCTCAGTACTCTGCATGTAAATTTACACCCCAAGATTTTCATCATTATTTTTAAAACTACTGAGCACATGTAAAATACTAGGAATAGATCTAACCTTATATAGCTAAAGGTAGCTGTTTTAAGGTCAAAATTTTTTACAAAGTAACCAGTATAAGAACCCACTTTTGAAGTTGGTGTTGAATATTAGCATTTTAAGATTAGTATTTTTGAAATAGGGATAGAAAAGATGTAATAGATTTTTTTAAAAATCATAGGTGCCATAGGTGACCAATTTTTATAGAGGAATGAAACTAAAAGGCAGTGCTATTTACCTCTTCAGCACTGAGGTTATCTTGGAA